TTACACCATGTCTCTACCAGTATATTTTTAAGTATTCATTTATGATTCTTTTTAAACTGTTACAATAAAACTTCATAGAACTGTTACTATGTTACAATACAACATGGTATTTGGGGAAATCTAAATCTGTGTTTCTGCCCTCCTCACTCATTCCTGACTTCAAAACAAACCATCTCTTTTGTTCCTTTGAGGTGAGAGCCATTTCTTTCATTGATAGTGGAAAAAGTTTAAGCCTTATCAGACATCTCCCCAAAACACCTCCAACTCCCAGACCCTGGCCTAGATTTGTTTGCTCTCCCCCCGACCCCCACCCCCACCAGTGGAAGTGGAGGAAGCAATGTGCTGCTTCTCAGCTCCACCTTGTGGTCACACGTGGGCATTGTACAGCCACCCAACCCCACAGCAGAAGGAAACATTTCCAACAGTATTTCCTGGCTTCAAGCCTCAGCTTTCCCACTCAGCAGAGACCACGGACAAGTGGCTCATGAAGGGTTTGTGAGGCCCACTATAAGCGTAACAAGGCAAGAACGGGAACATATAAACTCTGGGGTAATGACTGGGATAATGCAGAAAAATACGTAAAGACAGGTTTGGGGGATAATGTAGAAAAAAATATGTAAATGCAGGGTTCTTTCATCTTAATATTGTTATATTTTCGCAGAAAAACTGGAACCATCAGAAGTGCTAAAAGACAGAGGGTGGAAAGCCTGTAAACCACACAGAAGGACCAACTTGAATTAACTTCAGGCTGTAACCTCAGTACTCAGCCCAACACACCAGATCATCTGAGGACACCAGGTACCTGTAGGGTCTGTTTCTGACCTTTCCCCTGCTTTACAGATTGAGGGTGAGGGTTGGATGGATTATCTCAGAAGCAATACTATATTGATTTAGGGCTGAGTAGAGAAAGCATTAAATCTCAGACTCTAACATCCTTACCAATTCTTTCCAATTGCCTGAAAGGGCAGAGACTCTCTCCCCTATATCCGCCTCTACACCTACCCTATATAAACACAATCACACACAAGGGGGGATTTTAAAAGTAACTACTACATGAACCAAACTGGCCCAAAGCTGTGGTCTCGGAAGGGAAAAAACAATTGATTTATACACATTAGCAGTTTCCAACCTGGACAGAGTCACAGCATGCCCAGGCAGGCTTTTCCCAAGTCCTGCTTGGTAGCCTCATGCTGGACCTCCAGTCACCTCCAGGAGATGGGCTCCCAGGAGTTTTACAGGATCGGTCTGTGGGCTGGGAAGCTCTGCTTTAGCAGTCTGCTCCTTGCTGAGCAAGTCCAGGCAGTTCACTTAGCAAGTTAAGTAACAGCAGACAGGGAAACCAGTAGGAAGGGCTTCAGGGTATGAGGTAAAGTCAGATGATGACACTAACCCCACTCTCACCAACAGAAACAAACAACAAAAATGTTTTGGGAAGGGGCTAGAGAGAAAGAGAGAGCACTAGCTGCTCTTGTAGAGGACCTGGATTCGATTCCCAGTACCCACATGGTGACCAACAATCGCCCATAACGTCAGTTCCAGGGGAATCTGACGCAGTCTTCTGACCTCCAAGGACACTGCACAACACAGGTGCACTTACACAACACACACACACACACATGCACGCACGCATGCACGCACGCATACAGGCAATACACTCATATCCATAAAATAAAAATAATAAGTATTTTTTTAAAGTCTTGGAAAATAAACTTAATCTATGCCTTATGGCCTGATCTGAATAGTGCTGACTACTGCTGGACAAGAGGCCAGAGCCAAGGGCAGTTTGGTTTTACTACCTCAATACTGGCAAACAGCTTGTAGGAATACTGCTGGTGTCCCCCTTTACCACCCACTGGACCCAGGTAGACATCAATAAAATACTGTGGTGCTCTTTCCCTAGACAGGGTCTTGATATTCTGGTAAACAGACACTCTCCCCCAGAAACTGGAACTGGCAGGTCTAGTCCCGAGTCCCTGTCCTGATGTAGACAGTTTAGAAGTTGAGCCTCTGCAAAGCGTGGCCACCATGCTCATTTCGAAGGTACTCAAATGAGACCACTGAGGAACTGAGGCCTCAAGAGCACAAAGTGAGACAGGATAGAAAGACAGAAAAAATTAAAGGATATGAGAAAGGAAAGCAGCCCCTGATGCTGGAATCTAATTTCTGTTTCCTGCTGGCTAACAGTCGAGAAACTTCGATATAACTGATAGAACCAACTGATAGAGAAAAGACATCAAACAAAATGTTAAGGGGCTGGAGAGGTGGCTCAGCGGTTAAGAGCACTGACTGTTCTTGCAAAGGACTCAGGGGTTCAATTCCCAGCACCCACATGGTGGCTATGAACCATCCTTAACTCCAGTTCCAGGGGAATCCGAAGCCCTCGTCTGATCTCCATGGCATTGCACGACATAGGTACACTCACATACATACACTCACACACATAAAATAAAAATAATAAATAAAATATTTTTTAAAAAACAACAAATTATGCTTAAGGCCAGAATGTTTGTGGCCTTGAATTTAACTGTACTAGCACCCCTCTCTCATCCTTAAACCCAAACAACACACCTTGAAAAACCACCAAGGAATTGAGTACACAGAAGGAATAAAGAACACATGGGAAGGGACTATGCACAGGCAGTCTACAAACAGTTAGACCATCCAAAATTGAACTGAGAGCTTGAGCCAAATCAGAGAAAGGAGGTTCATGACTACCACTGCTCAGGTCTGGAAACAGTCATGCTGTAGGAAAAGCCTGACAGGAAACTCCCAGAGCATCTGATTAAACAAAGACACCTTGAAAAAACTAAGGGGAACTAGTGAGAAGCCTGTGACTCGAGCTGAGAGCACGTGGAGGATGAGGTGCTCTCTCTAAGAGCTGCCCTCTTTCCTGTCCAAGAGTTTAAAAATGCACAGTAGTAAGCAATGAGCAGGCTGAAACCAGCATGCACTGTCAAGTTCCCTATAAAGTTCTTAGCCTGATACATACACTTAAATTGTAACCACTAAAAATGTGTTTTCTCTACTAGAAACTGGTTTTAATCTCATCATGTGTCATCAAGCCATTGCTAAGATAAGTAACGCTAAAGTGCCTCTTCACTGCAGGGACTAAGATTTCAATCCAGCTACAAAGATCAGCAACAAGTGACAAAATACAGGGACTAGCAGATCTCAAACACTGATATGCTTCTCAATCCTGAGCATTTTCTTTTCTTTTATCATCCCTCAATTCAAAGAGCACCAAAGGAGATGTAATATAAACACTTCAATGTGGATATCTGCCGCTTACAGCCTTAATAACTAGCTATAAAATTTTAAGAGCTATCGTATTTGGTGGCAATTAGAGTTATTGATAGTTCTGAAATTCATTTGAGATTTTACTGTAACTTTAGCAAAAAAAATGGCTTATGATATGGCTTTGGAAATAATAAATTGTTTTATAATCTTAACATTATTAAGAAAAACTTACTGCCATGAAATTAAACTATACCCATATTTAAAATTCAATCAAAATAAATTGCTCTTGATCAAAACACTGCTATGTTTAAAATATATTTAACATTGATCCAGTTTAATGAGAAGAATATATATTGCTATACTTATAATCAATAAGTTACGATTAACACTTTTATTAATTTTCTTCAGTAGTTAAAGGCTGAGTATTGAGCAGTAGTCCTGAAACATCACAAGTATCAGGTATGCATGCTAACTACGGGTGCAATGGGAAATGACAAACACAAGCTCCTCCTCAGCAGTGTTCTGCCACGTGGAATGTAGTGCAACCGTCCTCAAGACCTGGAATTAAGTCACAGGACCTTGAGTTCTTTTTAAGCAGCTCTGAAAAGGTTATGCAAACTATGTTAAGAGACCAGATTTGGTTTGTGAGCAATTCTAAACAGAAGAAAAAACGTTCAACTTTCATTCAGGAAGGCCAGTGGAAAGCTTCTAGAAATACAGTAAACTAGGTCTCCCCACATTGAGGAATAAAAACACTGTTGAGGTTTAGGGGGAAGTCATCCTAATATTAAATTCTTTTTAATTTTATTTGTTTTTATTTTATGTGTCTAAATGTTTGGCCTGCATGTATGTAAGTGCACCACGGGCTGTGAAGTGCCTGCAGAAGCCAGAAGAGCATCAGATCCTTTGGAACTAGAGTTACTGACAGTTGTTAGCCACCATGTAAGTGCTGGGAACCAAACCTGGGTCCTGTAGAAGAGCAGCCATTGCTCGTAAGTGGTGAGTCATCTCTCCAGCCCCACCAGTATTAAATATTTTTGAAGTAATGTGGTTCCTTCCCCCTCTGACGTCCTCAGAGTTCCTAGAGAGCTTGTGTAGGAGCTGTGTTCCTTTAGCCGGACATGGAGAGGCCTGAGGTGTGTGGACTGCTCTTCCTGATTCATGGAAACCATCCAGCGATGGTGATTCTAACTCCACATTACAGACACCCCTCCCCCTCTACCAAGTACTGGAAAGTCTTGGTGGTAAAAGCCAACTTATTCCCTGGCACACTGAATGCCCATGAGAAGAAAGGTGCACTGTGCATACAAAGTTCATCTTTGACATGACACTGGTTTATAAATCTGCAGATAACTATTTTCTCAAAAATAAGTAAGAAGGAATTTAAGAGAGCGTATATTCTTTAATATGCCAAAGCACAAGCTTCAGCTCTTTTCTGGAAGGAAATTTCTCTAAAACATGTTTCTTTCCTCAAAAGGAAAACAAACAAACAAATACAAACAGGAACAGCACAACCATTTCCTTTTCCTGACTCACTGCTCAGTGACTTATCTGAACAGAGACCACCCTTCACTTCAGTCCTCTGCTCACCCAGCCTTTCCCTCAGGCTCCCCATCCTAGACTTGCCTCTGACTGGAATAAAGAAAGAAGTCTAAATCCCTGGGACCAGCTGCACTGAGGACTCGGGCTCCTGGTTCTAGCTGGCCTCTGCACATATCATGGGTGCATCAATAGATATCTGTCTTCAAAGGCTGCACACTGACCTTAACCGCTGCTTATAGTAATCCTCATCTCCATCGTCTCGGCACCTCACTACTTTTCGACCTCCTCTTCCTCCTTCCACAGCTTCATCTTCTTCCCCGGAACTTGGGAAAAAGTCGTCATCAACCTCCTGCACTGGGACCTTCTGGCGTTTCTGGCCCTTGCACAGAGGCCTCAGTTCATAGTTGGTATCATCTGAAGATAGGTTAGCAATCCTCTCTTCCTCCTCTTCCTGCTCTTCTTCCTCTCCCTCGGTGGGGAAGGAGCCAGACTCCTCACCCTCAGAGTCTCCCTCGGCCTCTGGCTTCATCTCGGGCTCCTGGGGCTTCCTTCTTGGCATTCCCGTTTTCCCCTGGAACTGCAGCGCCCTCTTCTGGAGCCTTCTGATGTGCTTCTTCAAGCGCTTATCTGTCTGTGAGAGGACCCTGCTTCTTTGGTTTGGTTTGGCTTCATTCTGTCCTGGTTTTGACTTGGAGGTGACCAAGACTTTACTGGCTGCTCTTTTACTAGCAGCTTGTTTCTTCCTTTCAAAAGACAGCTGTGCTTGATCTGCCAAATATTTTTCAAAGCCCGATACTTCATTGAGCATTATTTTTCTAGGCTTTTTCTCCTGTTTCTGAGGGGCTGGAGTACCAAACGGTGTCATCTGGCCAGTGCGGATGAGCTCTTCCCAGGCCATCTCCTGGGCAGGCATGAGCATACTGCCAAGACACGATGGCCCTGGCTCTGAAAGAGGAACAACAATGCAGACCAGGGTAAAACTTGTCACTTGTTCATCAAACAGCACACACCCACGATAACACAAAATAAAATAAAGCACAGAGTAAAATTTATTACAGCATTTGTCATCCCATGTCTGACATATTCCTGTTAAAAAGTGATTTCTCAGTAATTCTTCCCCAAAATATGATATGGTACACATTTATACAGCCATTTTTTCAAAGGATGAAATCACAACATCCATAACATCATGGATAGAACTGGGGATTGTTATGTAAAGTGAACAAGCCAGGCACAGAAAGACAAGCACCGCGTGATCTCTCTCATCTGTGAGATCTAAAATGCTGCGCTCAGAAAGGTTAAGAGTAACATGGTGATTACCCAGGGCAGGAAGAGCACAGGGAGAGAAGGCTGATCAGTGTTACAAAGCTCCAGACAGACAGAGCAAGAGCTGGCGTGGGATCACATCACACAGGACCTTGATTACAGGCAATAATGGACTGTGTGTTTGGATGTCTTCTCCACAGAGAAATGACGTGTGTTTGAGGATGTGGATATGTTTAACCTGACTTATACACTATACAATATGTATGTACTGAAATACCATACGGCACCCTGTAAATACAAGCAAATTTTTACTATCAGTTATTTTTCCTAACTCTGAATTCAGATAAAATGTATCATGTTGTAGTCATACTCCCTGTACACACAAAGACAGGCTTTGGGTCATAAACAGACAAATTTGGCTGTTTCCTTATCAACTGGTAGGAGCAATTCATGAGAAGGAGTCCCCACATTTCCTGGCCATTGCTATACCCAACATTCAGATGCACCTAAACTCAAGAGACAGCAAAAGTGAAAACAGCCAAGGAATCGGTGTGCACTTAACTAAGACACAAAATGCTAGCTGTGCACTGTTCCACATGGTCATTATCAGTCACTCGTGTCACACAATAGCCAACGCTTTGACACTGTCACATGACAGTGTCATCTACGAATGTGCTGGACCTTCATAGCTGTCCTAGAACACATAGGCCCATGGGCTGCAGGTTAGACATGCCTGGGTTACTTTAAATTGTAAGTGAAAAACTGAATTCCACAGTTGCAATACAGCAAGTGCTCAATAGCTAAATATGACCAGGAGGCAACACCGCACAACAAAGAGAATAATCTCTTCACTGCAGAAAGGTTCACTGGAGAGCTGCGAAGATGGCGTGCTGTGAAAACCAAGGGGCCTACACTCAAATCCTTAGCACCCTCATAAAAGCCAGGTATGGCTATACATGCCTGTAAGCCTCAGCACTACACAGCAGAGACAAGAGCATCCTGGGTATTCCCTGGCCAGCCAGGCTAGTTCAAACAGCAAACTTCAGATTCAGTGAGAGACCCTGTCTCAAAAAATAAGGTAGAACACTCAGGAGGCAGAGGCAGGCAGACCTCTGTGAAATGGAGGCCAGCCTGGGCTTACAAGGAGACTCTTGTCACAAAAATAAGTAAATAAATAAAGGTAGATATGCTAAAGGAAGACTCCTCTGCATACACACACACACACACACACACACACACAGAGGCAGGCAGACCTCTGTGAAATGGAGGCCAGCCTGGGCTTACAAGGAGACTCTTGTCACAAAAATAAGTAAATAAATAAAGGTAGATATGCTAAAGGAAGACTCCTCTGCATACACACACACACACACACACACACACACACACACACACACACACACACACATATCCGCCATGGACAGTAGTACCATGCTAGACATGATGTGAATGATATGAAAAGATAAACTGAAAGGCAAAGTATAAAGTCAGCCAGAAATCATCCCTCTCTCACTAACTGAAATTAACCTCCAGCAAAGCAATTACTTTACCATGTACTCAGAAAACAAAAGACCTACCAGGGCAATAATACCACGACTAGGTTTTTATCACCTTGCACTGAAATGAAACACACATCAGAGTACAAAAATCATAAACTCCATGAATATTCACCAAAACTAAAACCTGTACTTATATACCAGCTTCCAGATCAAGTAACAGAAACTACTAGAATTCCTGGAGCACCCTTCTTGAACCTTCCCACCTCCAATCTCCAGCCTTGAGCCACTCTTGAAACACTGACAAGCCTGACTCTAGGGTTGAGTCATGTCTGCCAAGCCAGTACTATGTTTGTGAGGGCCACACAGATGTGTTAAATTGAGCTGCAATTTATTTACTAACTGCTGCTAGTATTCTATGTGATTATACGACAGTTCTCTCCTTCCACTATTCATGTAGTTTGGGTGCTTTCCAGGTTTTAACTACCAGGCTTTAGAATAATGCTGCTATGAATATTCTGCTGGATAGACATCCTTTGGAATAAATGCATCTAGTTCTTTGGGTATGTTAAGCTTTAGCAGACACTGCCAAACAAGGCTTGTGAAGTGGTACTATTTCAAGTTTCATAAGCGATGTTTAAGAATTCCAACTCTTCTACATTCTTGCCACTCCATCTCCCTGATTCCCAATGAGAACAGGGTGCCTTTCATAGACTCATCTTTTAGACAACCACTTTTGTATATAAAATGTTCATCTTGTGCCCACATTCTTGCCTATGCCTAAGTTTCTCCGAGTTCTTCACAGACTCAAGCCTTTGCATTCATGCATGTCCTACAATATCTTCTCCCACATTCTGCATCCAACTCTCTCTCTCTAAATGTCATTCTGATGAGCAGAAATAAGCTCTTAGCTTTTACCACAGTCCACTTAACAAACTTTTTCTTCCTTGTGCACATTTTGGGGTCTTGTTTAAGTCTTTGCCCACCCTAAGATCATGACAATGTTTTCCCTATGTTATTCTCAGAGTTGTTTTTTTTTAAATCATTAATATTCAGATCTATAACCTGCTTGGGATATATTTTTATACACAAAGTAATGGGTCAAGACTCATTGAATTTTCATGTGGATTAATATTATCAATTGAAAAACTTGATCACGATAGCACTGCCTGCCACCTTTGTCATAATGAAGTGATTATACACAGTGGGCCTGTTTCTTTAGTCTTGTGTTCCATCCCACTGGTCTGTGTGTGCTTTTACCAATGCCAGTCCTAATCACTACAGCTTTACAGATCTTGACATTTTGTTCTTTTCCTTTTCTTTCTTGATTTTTTTGTATCTGTTGTCGTTTGTTTTTGGTCTTTTTGAGACAGGGTCTCCCCTGGAGCCACAGCTGGACTGGAACTCGCTATGTAGACCAGGCTGGCCTTGAACTCATAGAGATCTGTCTGCCTCTTCTCTGACTCCAAAGTGCATATGCCACCACACCCAGCTTCTTTTCTTTCTTTTCTGAGGTACAGGGTGTTAAGACAGTATCTTACTCTGTAGACTAGGCTGGCCTCAAACTCACAGCAATCCTCCTAACTCAGCCTCCCACGTGCAGGGATTACAAATATTAGAATCAGCTTATTAATGACCTTTACCCTCAGCCTACATCTCCCACATATGATACTTGCCATTAAAAAAAAAAAAGCTCGCTCTTTCCCATCTTGCAAGATGGCGGGCGAAAAGGCTGAGAAGCCTAAAGAAAGGAGAAGAAGCCTGCAGTGAAGAAGGCTGGTGATGGTGGCACTGCAGGTGGTGCAGGCAAGACTAAAAAGGGAGGCCCTATAGTCAAAAAGCTGAAGAAGGGGAAGCCTCACTGTAGCCGAAACCCTGTCCTGGTTAGAGGAATTGGCAGATACTCCTGGTCTGCTATGTATTCCAGAAAGGCTCTGTACAAAAGGAAGTACTCAGCTGCTAAATCCAAGGTTGAAAAGAAAAAAAGAGAGAAGGTTCTTGCTACAGTCACAAAACCAGTTGGTGGGGACAAGAACGGTGGCAACCATGTTGTTAAGCTTCGGAAAATGCCTAGGTATTATCCTACTGAAGACGTGCCTCGAAAGCTATTGAGCCGTGGCAAAAAACCCTTCAGTCAGCATGTGAGAAAGCTGTGTGCCAGCATCACCCCTGGGACCATCCTGATCATCCTAACTGGGTGCCACAGGGGCAAGAGAGTGGTTTTCCTAAAGCAGCTGGCCAGTGGCTTGTTACTTGTGACTGGACCTCTTTCCCTTAACCGAATTCCTCTGCATAGAACACACCAGAAATTTGTCATCGCCACCTCCACAAAAGTCGATATCAGCAATGTGAAAATCCCCCAGCACCTCAATGATGCTTACTTCAAGAAGAAGCAGCTACGGAAGCCCAGGCACCAGGAAGGCGAGATCTTCGACACAGAGAAAGAGAAATACGAGATTACAGAGCAGCACAAGGTGGATCAGAAAGCTGTGGACTCACAAATTTTGCCAAAGATCAAAGCTGTTCCTCAGCTCAAGGGCTACCTGAGATCTCTCTTTGCTCTGACAAATGGCATGTATCCTCACAAATTGGTGTTCTAAATTTCTTACCAAGAACCTAATTAAATAACTGATACGTTTGTATCCCTTTTGTGATTGTAGTGTATAAGTAATTGCGTTGCGAGTATGTGTGCAGAGGCCAGTAGACAATTTTGTATGTGCATGTGTGCATGCATGCGTGTGCACGCGTAAGTACACTCGTGTACAATGCCTGAGGTCAGAAGGTTTCTGATCTCCTGGAACTGGTGTTAGCTACATTGTGGGTGCTGGAAATCAAACCCAGGTACTTTGGAAGAGTGGCTAGTGCTCTTAACCGCTCAGCCATCTCTCCAGCCCCTGACAATTGATAATGTCCTCTGTCCCTTTATTTTTTGAGAAAGGATCTCTGAATTTGAAGCTCAATTTCAAATAGGCTGGTGGGCCAGTGAGCTCCTGTCTTTGTCGCTGGTTACAGGCACATCAGCTTTACTGTGGGTGTGGTTTTTGCTTCTACTGTAGAGTGGTTGCAGGGAAGTGGCATCTGCTGTGGGTCTTTTCACAACTTTAGTCTGGGCATATACAACTGGGTCATTCACTGTCTCTTTCCCCACCCTTAGCCAGAAGATGTGTGTACTGTGTATGCTGTTAAATACTTATGTTCATTGGTGATTTCATGGTAGTGAATACCTGTAATCCCTGCACTTAAGAGGTAGAGGATCAGTTCAGGGTCATCTTCAGCTGATGGTGAGATGCAGGTCAGCCTGGGCTAAGTGAGACCCAGGTCTTCTGCAAGAACCACCAGTATTCTTAATCGCTGAGATCTCTCCAGCCCCAGGTTTACACATTTTAAATGGTAGGGAGTCCTAGATTACTCTAGAGGAGAGTGTGCCAGTTTACTGAAGATGGAATTCACTGTAAGGGAGACTTGGGTCGCCTCATGGTTCTGCACTTGGCTTCTTGGGCTTCTGATGAAATTTCAGTTCCTGTCTTTTGTTATTTCTAGAATGTCACAGAACTGCTGTTTTGAGTTTTTAAGTATGATACCCGGGACTCATGGCTCAATAGTTTTTTTGTTACCTAGTATGTGTTAAATGTATCACTATTTTAAAACTCATCCAACTCCCCTTTGAAAGACATTCATTTGAGTTTATTGGTTATCATTAATAAAGACACAGTAAACATAAAAAAAAAAAGCTCAAATTTGTATTGGGGTTACATTGAAACTATAGCTGGTTGGAAACGAAGTCTTTACATTATTGAAATTAGAAACTAGAAACCTGTACAATATTGCATCACCTGATCACAGCCTCAGTATATATTCATATTTACTTAGATTTTCCTTTTTTAATATTTTTTAATATATTTACTATTTTTATTTTATATGTATGCGTGTATTGCCTGCATGTAGGTAAGTGCACCGGTGTTATGCAATGCCCACAGAAGACAGAAGAGGCTGTTGGATCCCCTGAAACTGGAGTTATGGACAGCTGTTAGCTGCCATGTGGGTGCTGGGATTCGAACCCCGGTCTTCTGCAAGAACAAGTGTTCTTAACCGCTGAGCCATCTCTCCAGGCCTTTATTTATTTATTTTTCAGTTTTTATGTGTATCAGTGTTTTGCCTACATATATAAGTGCACCCATGTCATGCAATGCCCATGGAAGTCAGAAGAGAGCACTAGATCCCCTGGAACTGGAGTTACAGACAGTTGTTAGCAGCCAGTGCTCTCAACCACTGAGCCACTGCTCCAGTCCCTACTTAGGTTTTCTTTGACAATGACATTTTACAGTTTTTAAACATATAAAACTCTGTAGAACTACACTTTTTTACTAAGATTTATTTCTAGTATTTTGATTATAAGTGGCATCTCCATTAATATGTACTTTTAATTTTTCTTGGTACACAAAAATGACTAATTTTTATGTACTATATATTCAATGATATTACTAAAGTCACAGTGTATTCCAATAGACTATCCAATCTATTGATCTATCCATCAATTCTTTTGGATTTCTTATATATTTCACCATATGATCTGTGAACACTGATGGTCTATTCTTTTCCAGGTCTACTCTGGACCTCATTTCTTCCATTCTTATGCTATCCAGTTCACTACTGAACAGAGCTCAGAAGCACGCTTGCTGCTCTCTGAATCACACTGGCAAACCCAAATTTCACTGTCCTCATCCCACCTACATCCAGGAAAGGACTGTCAGGTAATCCTTACAATCACTGTGTAGAGAGCAAAGAGAGGGAGCCTCAGGGAGGCATGTGGCACCTGTGGGGGTTACTACATGTACACCCACTACATGGCTCGGACAGCCTGAGAGAGGAAAAGAGCAACGAGGTCCACAGCAATACAGAGCTGGGTCCACAAAGCCCAGCCACTTGGGCATTCAGCTCTATGGTCTCTGCAGACATGGCAGAGGCCAGGAGACAGTGAGAGAAATCAATCCAAGTGATAGCTGGTGCCCAGACAGAAAAGTACTGTGGGAACCAACAGTTCAGAAAAAAAATGGGCTAGAGATTTGTAAGTCACTAGAGCCTAGGTAGCTGCAAAACCCATGGGGAGTAGATGAAATGTTCAGAGGAGAAAGAGAGTAAGAAGCAGCCTCAACAAGAAGTCCTAAGCAGTATGAGCACTTAAGATACTACCAGAAAAGCTGACCAAAAATAGCTAACCAGAAGTAGTCAGACGGTAGAAAGGAAACCAGGAGAATAGGTTCCCAGAAGGCACAGGAAACATGACCTGCTGCTGTCAACAGACTGAATGCAGCAAAGTGGAAAGAGGCTTCAGGACTGAAGGAGGAATCTGTGAACTCTGCACAAAGCTTCACTGAAGTAGCAACAGAATGAAAGAACAGCAGGTTTTAGATAACTGGCCATGAGCAGATCCCCTTTACCAATGGGAAAGCTGGTACCAAGCATCAGAGAGCATCATCAGTAGGACTAATGAATCTCATAAGACTGAACTTTAAATCAAATCTAGCCAGGTACGGCGATGCACGCCTTTAATCCCAGCACACAGGAGGCAGCGGCAGGTGGATCTCGGGCCAGCCTGGTCTATATAGGAGTTCCAGGCCAGCCAGTGCTGCATAGTAACGCCCTGTCTCAAAAAAACCAAAACAACAACAACAAAACAAATCTAAAGCCAGGAGTAGTAATATATATATATGAAATCCCTCAGCACTCAAGGGGCTAACATAGGATAATGACAAGTCCTGGGCTACATAATGAGCTCTTATTTTGGAGGGAGGGAGGAAGAGAGAAAGGAAAAGGGAGGGGAGGGGAGGGGAGGGGAGGATAGTGGAGGGGAGGGAAGGATAATGGAGGGGAGGGGAGGAGAGGAGAGGAAAGGAAGGAAAACTCAATTTATATTTTTCTATTGCTTACTGTTATGTTCTTCATAACAATTCTTTTATCTTAGTGAACAAATTTCTAGAACCAGTAGAAAATACTTTCTTGATCAGCTAAACACTAAGACGTTTTAATCTATACTTCAAGCAGGAAATGACAGCGAAGCAACCAACAGTGTCTAAACATAGGTACACACATACACACAAATGAAAAAATATTTAGTTCCAGAGTTTACACATTTTTCCCCAAGAAGTCTTCCAAAGCACACCACCATGAGCAGCACTCTAAATGAAACCATGCCAAGGTATAAACTGTACATCTTTCCTTAACAAAATGAGTATTTGGAAAGTCTGCCAAAATATGTTCCTTAAAGATATGTGAGAGTCATTCTACAGATGCTGACTGATGATGCTGGCCTTACCAAATGGACTCAAGCAAGATGTTAGTTCTCCTTACCAAATTAAATGTATAAGAATGTTTTAAGATTTCCAATTGGTAAACATAATACTAAATGTGCATCAGATTTTCCTAGATCCATTTTGACACTAAGGCAAAGTTCAGAGAAAGATTCACAAGATGGCAGCCAGCATCAATTTAAGAACATAGAGAGCGGCCTCTGTTCTTACCTGCATCCTCCTCCTCTAGGCTGGCGTGATCCAGTTCCACCTGTACCTCTGCTCCTCCCAAAATGGCCTGGAGCCGCTTCTGTTTTGCAGTTATCTTCTTTAGCTGCTGTTCCTTGAATGGGAAATCCCAAATACAGAATACACAATGAAATGACTTACTGATAAATATAAAAGATGGCAGCACAAAATTAAAAACAGTCAAGAGTAATATAAAAATGAAATGGAAATCCTATATATTACTACCACTAAGGAGAATCTTATTTGAGCAACTACAACTTTCCTGCAGCAAGTGGCCTTGAAGCACGGTTGCCAGTCTACCCACAGGCTCTCCTCACCATGGCACAGAGCTTCCCATGGGCCTGAGCACCATCACACATACAGCCGTGTGTGCAGGGTGGAAATGTTCTCTGAGTTCTTTCTATAGACTCTGTGCCTCTCTGATCTTGGCAGCCAATGGGCTATGGAGAGCAGCAGCCCTCAGTGATAAGAAATAAAAACAAAGTTAAAGAGTCACTCCTAGTTGAGAACTGACCATGAATGGTATCCTTTGTAGTATTCTACCCCACCAAAAACTTTCAGAGACATTCTGTTCTGCCTCCATTACCCCATGTACCTCAGACTCCTTTCTGTCTTGTTTCTCCTGACACTATCAGAACACAGATGTGTGGCCTTCCTAAAGCCTCCCAATTAACCAGGCTTTGGATACTTAGTCTTCACAGAGAAAAAGAGCTCTTGCCTAGTATACACACAGTCCTGGGTTTGATCTCCAGAACCAGGAGGGGATAAGGTTCAACTCAAAATGTGAGGGTGGGACAAGGGGAAGTCATGAACATAAACAGTATACTACCATGACCTGCAATTTCTTTTTCTCCATCTTTCTCTCAGCAAATTCCACTTAAAACACTTTCCCTCTCTAAACATCGAAGTGAGACCATGACCTATTCACCTACAGTTTGGTCCTCTCCACTTTTGAAATCTCAGTCCACAAGGAGCCAGAGTCAAAGATGTGTGCACAATAATTCACATTCCTACAAGAAGCCAGATGTCCCCTCTCTGATTTATGAAGACTCTATCTGCACTGAACTACCTCCAGCTCTGACATTTGAGCTGCTACTACAGAGATAAAGAGCTGGGTGGTGAAGACAATAGACTAGGGAATGGAAAAGAAAAGGAAGGCCCCAGGAGCTGAACCTGTACACATTCCCACATGTGAACTTAAAGGAGCAAACATTCCACATGCTGCAACGAATCAACTGCAAGCACAAAGACCTCTGCTAGTGCCCAGCACTGAAGCCATTAATGCTAGTTATTCCCATCTACTGCGATGGATGGATTGCCAAGGAAGTACATGAATCATAAAAAAAAAAATGTTCCAACCTCCACAAAGCTGTATCTAAACCCTCAAAAAAAACTCATTTCAAGTCTTATAAAAAGCAGTATCTTAAGTAACAGATCTCTCCTGCCCTTAAGTTCTCTGCTGCCAGAGGTAGCCCCAGCGTGGCTGTGCTGATTCTCACACTTAAAGCAGAGATGAAGCATGTGAGGGGGATGGCTGCAACACCAGGAAACAATGAGAAGACAATCTGCAGGCAAGACCTAATAACGAAGTCCAGGAAAAACCAGGAGACAGAGTGAGAGACCAGCATCCAAGCAGGGGCTCAAACAGTGGTGTGAACAGTGGAGAAAGGGGGAAGACCATAGAAGAACACAGAGGGAGGAGGCATGCAAAGCCACCTAAGAACTACTCTCGAATATGGAGGATGGATGTACCTCCATATACCAACGTGTGTCTCTATGCATGGGTTATGAAAAATCCTGTACAGCAGAGCTGACAGATTAGACATATAAAAGCCACCCCAAATTTTTCTATTATAACTACTGTCTCACATCACATAAGTACTTTCTGGAGTACTTCCTAAATTATTAAATAGGCTTAAATTTTAACATTTTAAAAAATGTGCTACTTAATACATTATTTGAAATCACCTTATTATACTTCTGCCGTTTTACAGACTCTAGTTTCCTGTTGATGTCTCTGTTGGTGGCAGCTTGAGGGCTAAGTTGCTCAATAATTTTATTGATTTGCCTTAGAGATGTCGTACATGACCTGAAAAATAAGACAAATTGACTGTTTTCCTCTATGGTAACATTTTTATAGCATAACATAAAGAGAAACATGTTTAAAATGTCTCTTTTATTTCTTATGAGCTAAAAAAACAAAACTAAAACACAATGCATTCTTGATGGCCACAAATAGACTAGAGGTTTAAAACAAACACTAGCACTCTTCTTTGCTCTGGCTGATTTAAATCAGCTCATACCTATTTGCAAACTGAATTGTTTTGTCTATGGGCAGTTTTTACTGTCTACTTTATTCAAGATATTGGGATAAGGACAGAATTCAGTCTAAGTTGTCCTTTTTTATGAAGAAACTCATACATAGATTTTTAAAGCCCATCCTAGAAACTTCCCAAGGTTTGAAAAATTCTAAAAGTGTTTAATCATTTTCCTACATAAATCACCAGTATCTGAGCCAGTATTTTCCTTTCACAGACCTGGAAAATTCCTCTACTAGAACGTTAAACTTTATGGTATAAAGGAAAAAAACCGCAAATGAAATACTACAGAATCCTAGGTTCCAGTTTTTTAAAAAAGAATTCAATCTTATGTATACCTGTATAATTTTCTGTTTCCATTCTTTCAGATTTCAGGGTAAACAATGGAAATTACTGACTGTCTAAGGCACCAAACATCACCAGCCACACAACGTCACCCTGTCTTGAAACTCCACAGCATTCTCCTTTGACACCTCTATAGAAAGTGGACAGGTCAAACACAAAAGGTGGGCAACTACACAGCACACTCAAATATCAATACAACTCGGCAAGATGTGCTAGTAAAGGGGCCAAAACTCAGAAACAATTTTTTAAATTAATTTAGATTTTAAAAAAAGAACATACAAGGAATTGTTAGCAGGAAACATGTCCTTTAAGCATCTATAGACACTATACACAGCCCCGCCGATGGGCAGCACCACCAGCTCCACACTCCCCTCCCCACTACTCCCACTGAGGCTGCCCCTTCCCTTCACCTGGTTCAGTCCTTAGCTGTGTTTGCTCCTATGTCCAGCTCCACCCAGACACCACCTCCCGACTCCTGGCCTCACTCTTAGTCTGGCCCAGGCCTCCCTGCCCCACCAGGCTAACTCAGCAGAGCCCGTATCTCTCTCCTCCACAACACAAATGAAGCCTCCATGAGACTGTATCTTTCTTTCGAGTCAAAAATAGGACAGAAGAAACAAAAGGCAGGGAGTTTTTTTCTCATTTTTTTTCCAAAAGGGAATCTGAAAAATTGCCAAAAGAATAAACATTCAGTTTGAGGACAACAAACGAGAAAGAAACTACAGGACCGAGAAAAAGACAATGAGGGGATAATAAGTGCTCCCTCAATCTCAAGTATGAAATTCCCAGAACTCATACAGACCTCTCCTAAGAGTACTATGCATTTACCAACTGTTTCCCAAATGAGAAGCTCTATAATTATATCTTAAGTTTCTGGCATATTAACAGTTTGCTATTACCTGAATTTTCCTGCCATGTTTCAATACAAACTCTGAAAAAAGAAAGACCACACTCACATCAGGTCATCCAGGACTGACTGGTACTCCTTCTCAGCATCAGCAAGCTGGGCCACTCGGCTGGCCTCATGCATGGCACTGTCCACCTGCTGAAGCACACCTTGCTCCAGCACAGCCTGGTCATAGACGTCCACCCCCAGGCCCTGCAGTTCCAGGGCCTGCGCACTGGGCTCCACCACCGGGATCTGATTCCTATCAATATGCAGCAGGGTTGGCCCCCGCCTTCTGGCTGCCAACACACAAGTCTCAGTAGTCGTGGATGGCCCATAATCACAAGGAGTACAAGGGAGGTACTCCCGTACCTCTGAGTCCTCAACTGGCACATCTTCATTAGCACTGGCATGCCAACTTTGTAAAGAGTCTTGCTCCTGATTTTGAGTTGAGCTGGGGGTTTCCTCACTGGCCATCCTCGATAAACTACCTAAAAGGAAAAGAAAAAAAATTGGTAAGCCTCTTGGTTCTATAGAATTGTTCATTATATAATTTCAAAAACATTTTACAAATAAGACACGGATTTCTCAAAACATCAAGGAATAACCTTCCAATTAAATACACTCAAGTTTCTATGTACTAGCTTCCTGAAACAGTACAAATGATCATAAACAAGAAAAACTAGTCCAAGGAAGAAATGCAGTAATATCAACACAGGGCATACCAGCTGAGAAAGTGGTGGCCCAGTCCTGAGTGCCATCCGTAGAATGCTCCAAAGCAGCTGAAGTGATCCAGCGGCTGCCTGGCAGTTAGCATTGCCACTGGGCTGTGGCATAAATGACTTACATTAGATGGACAACTGTGACACATGGTATCAAAATGTGAGAGCATCTATACAAATCACACTAAAAACTTCTAGGCTGCACCTCCATCCAATAAACAGGCGTTCTGAACACATCAGGATCTCAGAGATTAATGAAAACTGTCACAAAAAATAATTCCATTTCAATACACAATCTAATTTCTCATCAGGTTAGCAGGTCTGACAGAACCTCACAAACAAGAAGCGTCTACTTCACATGCTGTTGGTGGGAATACAAAGTAGTATCGATCCTTTCTCAGAGACAATTAGAAATATCTACCCAAACTTAAATGCATATAACCTTTGCTCAGCAATTCTAGTTCTAAGCATTTATTCCAGAAAAATACTGTGGATACTGTGGTTTCAGCTGTTCACCCATGATCGTGAGGCAGGCTGGGCGTTGCAGATTGCTGCCACTGCCAAGTATTGTAAGAGAAGACTGGACTACGTACCGTTAGCTCTGGAAGAATAAACTCAAAACTCAAAGTACAGTTTCTACTCAATACAGACTGCTTTTAGAACATCATAATCCTGAAAAAGTGTAAGTTGTCAGACAGAGACTGTCTCTACTCACACACAGGTGAGAGAATGCCTACTTTAACATGCTTTAGTAGTTTAATGTAGCCACTAACTATTTCCTATGGTACTGACACCAGCCACATGAAGTGAAAAACTTCATGGGCATAGTACAAATGCATTTATGTTGAAAGAAATGTGCATATGCATCTATGTGCATGGAATGCACAGAAAGTCTAAAAATATACATCTTACACCTGCAACAGCTAGAAGAGGAGGTTGCAGGAGCAGGGAACAGAAAAAAGGGATCTTTTACATTTCAGCCACATACTCTGGAACCACTTGAAAGAGATCATATTCACTGTATTATCTGTGTAGCATCTAATAAATACATTAAAAAGCAATCAAGAGGGACTGGAGAGCTGGCTCAGTGGTTAAGAGCACTGGCAGAGACCCAGATTCAATTCCCAGCACCCACATGGTGGCTAACAATGCTCCTTAACTCCAGTTCCAGGGGATCCAGCACCCTCTTCTGACCTCCACAGGCACTGTACAACACAGCTGCACTTACATACATGCAGGCAATATACTAATACACATAAAATAAAAATAATAAATCAAATATCTTAAAAAGCAACCAAGAGACAGCCTCGCTTTTTTTATTTAGCTGTGGTAAACTACTAAACTTTCTTTAAGCACTGAACTTTTACTTCTATGAAATGATCATAAATTCCCCCAATACACATAACCCATCAGTTCTCATTGAACAAATTATCAACAACCAAATACCAGTATATAAAAATGACAACCATTTAGCATCCTCTGCCCCCAGTGGCTCACTTTCTACTAGGAGAAGTAGCAAATCCATCAAATCAGTAGGTGCACATACAAGATGCCATGTGAACTTAGGGAAGGGAACAGTACACTTTCTAGGACCAAAGAACACCATAAAGGAGTTAAGATTTGAACCTCTGGGCACTGGCTAATGTGAAGGGATGCTCACTAACTGCTGAAAGGAGTCCAAAATAAAAGGGCTGGCCTAGACAACTGAGTCATAAATGAATTCAGTCACAAAAATGAGACTCCAAGGAAGCAGAGAGGAACAGAAAGGAGGGCAGCTGAGGAGTTTCCAAGTCACAATACTGAAACACCATATAGTTGGGAATGCAAATCTGAGGGCAAGGAGAAAGTTCTGGGCAGATGTGGGCATACGTCTAAGAGCACACGACCCTGGGGGTGTCCCAAGATTCTGACAGGTGTCAGAGATCACCATTTAGAAGAGTGAGAAGAAACCAACACTGAAGTAAAAGTTAACATTAAAAGGCTGGGGATATTTGGGTTATTTTCAAAAGAAAGGTATCCCTTTTCAAGAGAAGGCTGGGATTCTGGCTCTGGCTCCTTTAACTTAAAGACACTTCTACTTCCATCTTTCATTCATGCGAGGAATTTATTTTTAAGTTAAAAAGTATGTCAATTAAACCAAAAATATATAAAAAGACAAGGTTACAGATAAAATCCTGACAAAAACTGTAATAAAAAAGGATAAAAGAATAATTCTTATGAAGAAATGACTAAGTATGATTACATAAGGAAATCAGGGTTCATTGGATCTGGACACTCGCAAGTCACCAGTTATCTTAGTAAAACAAGCTTCAAGTTGGGCATGGCAGTGCACACCTGTAGTCCCAGCACTTGGCAGGCTGAGGCAGGACAGGGAGTCAAGGGCAGCCTGAACCACACACCAAGGCTGTTTCAAAATAAACAACAACAAAAGAAGTTATCTGTGGAGCCACAAAGAGAAAAGTCATACTGCAGTGGTTTACAAAGTCAGTGGGATATAAAGCAAAGGAGGGACAACCTATCCCCTTTAAGGGCATTGGCTATAGAAGGGAGAGGGGTAGAGTAATAAAGTAATCAAAGAAGTATGGAGGAAAAAAACTGATAGCAAGAAAACTATATAATGGGAGGAGAGGACGTTAGGAGATGACTTGCATAGAAAGTTGTGTAATAACTGGGGAAAGTCCAGAGCAGACGTGACCAGAGGCTATAAGACATGTTTATCTGACTCTGCCTTAAGAGTGATGCCCTATGCATCGAAATCTACAGGTACAGAAGAAAACTGAAGTGGGCCATGGAAAAATACCCCATAAGGAAAAAGTTTGGGCACTTCCAGAAGCAGGGGACAAAGCTGGGAGAGGGACCAGAGTACAGTTAGGATCTGGAACAAATGTCTACTAGAATACTAACAGCTGACATGAGAAGTGAATACTGAGGGTGTATGCAGGTGGCTCCCCAAAACTATGATTTACAACACTCCAATGCTGTACAATTCCCTCCTCTCCTAATGAGCAGGCCTGTGGGAAATGCCATGCCTTGGGATTGTCAGAGTAGTCCAAGGTAGAACAAAAGGACCTAGGAATTGAAGATGTTGAGTTGAAATAATAGCTTGGAGTTCATGACTAGGTAGTGTTAGGGTTCAGATAGCCCCCGCCCCCTCACCAACAGGAGCTCACAGACCTCACAAGCCCTTGAGAAAAGGGAACTGAGTTAATAAGTACCCTGGTCTTTGAAGTCAAAAGAAGGAGACTTTTCTCCACTATTTGGCCAATACAGCCAGATTCCCCTTTGATCTCTAAAGAGGGCAGGGTTTTAACAGTCCCCCTCTCCTGCTCCCCCCCCATGTGTTCCTTTTGCTAATAAACTCTATTCCGCTGGAGTTTTATCTGTGTCCTGGTGCTTTCTCCTGATCAACTGCATTCATCCATCACCTACTTTACCTATCAGGTAGGTTAGTTTGTTTTGATCTCTTTTTCTAATCCAAAAAGGAATCAAAAGAGGTCAAAAAGCTACTTAGCATCTGTCCATGGCCAGAAAAGCAAGTTTGGGGGGATGGGGGAGGCGAGAGATGGAAACCAGAAGCTTTCAAAGTTTCCGGGTGATACAAACCAATCAACAAATAGTTATTTAGTTACACCAGACGCTAGGCAAACTAGTTTCTGTGCAGTCTCCTCCAGAAGTAAAGCATTTTTAAAAATTACCTGAAGGTGCCTCATTAGCGCAGTAGATAGCATGACAGTCTCACAAAAATTTCCTGAGTACAGATTTAATGCAACTGTGCCAACAGCCTTAAGAGAAAACTACAGAACTCTTCCCAATAGAGACCTAATTGAAACTGCTGAGGCAGGAATTAGGAGGAGGCCTCTCTGTGACATTCTGAAGGATTAACACTATTTAATCAAGGTCAAAAGCAGAGTTACCATCTTGCAGTGAGATAATGTACGCAATTTCCAGCGGCTAGGGGAAAACTGGGGAATTAGGGGGAAATGCAGAAAGGCTGCCACACAGAGACTGACTAGGTAGGACTCCACTCATTATGTAAATCTTACACAATCTTCTGACACATCCAAGACTTAGTCTAAGAAAACAGACTTGAACCTTGGGGCTTCTGTGGCCTCGATGAGCTGGATCACGGTTTGGGGAGTTACCTGTACACCTGCAAAGGGCAGGCAAGAAGGGCCAAGACATACAGGTCTGGAAAAGTGTTCACTTGGGTTTTATTTTCGAGAGTTATTTTACGATGGATGGCTACGGCATGACCCAATTAGTATTTGCGAAGACCAGCCGGGCGACCGCACGGACTATAAAGAAGGAGCAATGCAGGGATCTTGGGAGGTGGTCGGGAGGAACATGAAGACACCTCGGAAGAGGGCGAGGGCCGCGAGGATGGATGCTACGTGGGATACCAGCATGTACTGTGGTCTGTCTACTCAATCCTTCACAAGCTCAACCAGTCTATCAAGGCGGAAGAGGCCAGACATGCATCGCCCCGGCGCTCCCCTCCAGGAACTCCGGTCTCTCATTCCAGACCACACAGCACCCGCTGAGCCTGCCGGCGGACCGGATTCACACACCCACAAGTTGACAATGGTGGCTGGTGAAATGCCCGGACTTGCCCCTCGCTCGCCTCCCCAGGTTAGAGCTTGCGCCACGCGTCACTTCCGGCCGTGCCAGAAGGCAGTCCCGGCCCGAGGGCAGCGGAAAACGCCGCCAGCTCGGAGGAGCCAAGGCGGGAGTTAGTGGCCCGGGACCACCTGGGAAGCCCGAGCCTACCGAGCTGACAGAGACACCGGCTCCCCAACCCGACCTTCAGTCCGGCTGCCGAACACTCACCCACGGTCGGGCTGCCCTGATGTAAACCGAGTCACCACCGGCGCTCCGCCGCGAGTAGGAGGCCTTAGCGCAAGCGCCCTAGGTCAGCAGGCAGTAAGCGCCGCCCCAGATGGCTGTGAGGAGGACAGCGCATGTGCCTGGCTGCGCCGTCTGTTTGTAAGCACGGAGGTTCCTCGTGTTTTGAGTGGAGAGCCCCACGAGACTTTATCTCCCTGCTAGGTAGGACTGTGGTGTCAACCCATGGCCATTTGGGTGGCTTGAATCACTCTTGGTAGAAATTAGTTGCTAATGAATTGAAAGGTGTTTCGAGAAAGAGATTATCCCACTGATTCCTGCAAATGCTAATATTTACAGTTAACTATGAACTCTAAAAAAATAAAGTAAACCCTGCAGTTATCTCCGGTTGCACTCCTTACTGGTCATTTGCCATGTCCGGTGGACGCCCTTACCTCATTAGTCACGTGACACATCTTTGACCAGAAGGGCAAGGAGATCTCTATCACCACCACCCCCAGTCCTAAAATAGGGCACCGTGGACATCGACGGCATGGTCAATCTACATAAATGGCTTGATTGTATTAAATCATGTAATATTTGTCCCAGACCTCAGTACTCAAGAGGAACTTTGCACCAAGCAAGAATTTTAGCTTGGAGCGTTTGGAGAAGGTGTCTGCACTTGGACTGAAAATTTTAAAAAGAGAACACCCGGTTTACCATGCTGTGGCTATATTAAACTGGGAACTTAGCGCAGGAATGCCAGCCTGGGAGGGCCCATGGCACAAAGGCCTGTGTGGACAGAGGTAGCTGAAGGAGGGATGTTTGGGGACTGGATAGTGTCAATAGTGAGAGAACAGAGACACAGCTCCACGCTGCCAATCTTAGCAGCCTGAGAGGTACCCCTAGAGTTTTAGAGACCTAGATTCAAGCCATCCCAGGATTCGTGGCTTCAACACTGTGAAGAATTTCAGGACTAGCCAGTTTATGAAGCAGAGTTTAAATACTTTATTAGAGGTATTTTAATAAAGGGTTAAGAGAAAGAGAGGTACTCAGAAAACACAGATGTAAGTATGAGTGGGCTTCTCAGAAGTCACTGTTAACTGTCTTAACATTAGCCATATATACATACAAACTATTGTTAAGAAACCTCTCAACAAATAAGATTATCATATGGCTCTGGAGACGCTTCAAATAGAATTATAACCTGATAAAATAAAACCAGAGGCTGAACTGACACCATGCCTCAGCAGGTAGTCAAGCCTGATGAGCTGAGTTCCACCTCCAGGACCTACACAGTGGAAGGAGAGAACCTACTCCTACAAGTTGAACTTTGGCCTCCACATATGCATGGTGGCATGGTGCCCACAGATACACATACAAATAAAGAAATACAATAAAAACCAAAAACCACTGGCGTTGCACAAGATGTGTAATACATGTCATTTTCCTATCAGGATCTCTGAATGAAATGGAGTTCTTTTTGTGAGATTCCTAGAAAAGTACAGATTTACAGCTATGAAGGGTTAAAGGCCTTAAGTAGCTGTTAATCATGCCAGAATTCTTGTTTTACTCTTGACAAGAGAACTCAACTGGATTCCAGGGTGAAGGACTCCTTTCTCTTATGTCCTCGAGGTTTTCCTATCTTCTGTCTATTACAGTAGTCTTAAAGACCATTGAGGTTGGATAGTAGGGCTCTGTTGAGGCCCATTAAGGGAAAGCTGTTTTCTCCAGTGAAAAGATTGGATCTACCTTTAGACCTGGGTGGAGACATGGCATTCTAATCTCCAAAGATTAAAACATTACATGCTTTGTTTCCTACCTTAAGAGTTAATCCATCTAGGCCTGTCGATCACCTGTCCAATAGATCTTCCATCATATAGCACTGTGGTCTGCCCACTTTTCTGAGTTACTCAGAAAAGCATAACTTTCTATTTTTCTTCTTTCCATATTTTTCTTTTGGATACTAGGAAAAGCCTGAGCATGCATCCCCCAACACTCTGGACACTCTCACACATTCTCTAGAGCTTTCGCCACTTACGCCATGTGGCTGGTTGCTGGCCTCCACTGCAAACAACATGGCTTCTCTCTTCCTTTTTATCTCCCTTTTCCCAGCAGCTACTGAAGTTTTCAGTTTACCTGCCCTGATGTTTTTCTCTTACGTTCTAATAAGATTGTTCTTGAACTTTCTTTTGAGTCCGTTTTAGAATTATTTTATTGGGCTGGAGAGATGGCTCAGCAGTTAAGAGCACTGGTTGCTTTTGCAGAGGGCCCAGGTTCAATTCCAAGCACCCCCATGGTGGCTAACAGCTGTCCATAATTCCAGTTCCATGGTATCCAGTTCCCTCTTCTGACCTCCACAGGCTCCGCACCACACAAGTGCACTTACACACATGCAGGCAGTACACTCATTTACATAAAAATAATAAATAAAAAATTTTTAATTATTGTATTGACTAAAAACCCAAAAGAGGGAACCCTGGTTTCCCAATAACATATCCTGGTTCAGGTAGCAGGATGCGTCTTCCTCACTTTGAACCCTGAAGTTCACATGAGGAGAAAAGAGATAGGGAGGAGACTTAGTCACTCTCAATAACACAGTCCTAGGAATCTTGGTCTGGAGTCCCCTTAACGTCCCAGTCTTTGTGATCTATCTCAAAAGAATTTAGGACAGGCACATAGAGCACAGTGCAGAAGATCACAGTTTATTAGTGGAGAGTGGAGAGTGAGAATGGACAGTGACCAAAGGGACCATTGTGCCAATCTGCATTTTAGGCAGGCTTTATACTATTTCTGAAGTCTCTAGAACATGTAGTTTTCCTGAGAGACTTTGTCATGTTCAGGTGGTTGGCAGGCCTACTTGATTTAACTCTTTAGGAGGGGTCTTCTGAAACCAGAGTAACCAAAGTTACTCCCTAATGACCTTCCAGGCAGCTCAGGATGTCGCATCTCCTCCCAGAGTCAGAGAAATGACTCTGGTCCCATTCTTCTGACCAATAATTAGAGTCCTACAGGTATAGTCCTTGGTTTTACAAGCCGCTGATGATGATGAGTGTCTAACCCAATGTCCTCCAAGCCTGCTAATATCTAGTTTCCTAACAACACCATATTATTGTTGCTGTTAGCAGCCCCTTCATACATCCATGTCTGACAGCCTACATGAAAACGGAATGTGTTTTTTAAAGCAAGTCAGAATTCTAATTATCTTTTCAATAAAATATTGAAAGAGTGTGATGGTTAATGTTGATTACCAACTGACAAGATGTAAGTCATTTAGGAGACAAATCTGGGCATGTGTGTGAAGGAATTTTTCTAGATTGGGCTAATTGAGGTTGAAGGTCCACCCTAAATGTAGGCAGTACTATTCCATGGCCAGATGTCCCAAACTGAATAAAAAAGGGGGTAGAGCACCAGCTTGCTCCCTCTGCTTCCTGACTGTAAGATGCGACATGACCAGCTGCCTCTAGCTTCTGCCGCCACGCTTTCCTTGCCATTTTGGACTATTTCCTTGAACTGTAAGCAAAAGTAATACCTTCCTTCCTAAAGTTCATTTTGTCAAGTATTTTGGTGTGGAAATGAGAAAAGAGACTGATTCACAGGGGTTGTGGATACAGCCCAGCATAGAGTGCAGTCCTCCCATGCAGAAGGCCCTTGGTTCAGTCCCCAACAAGAGAGGAGCAGGAGGGGAAGGCACTTGGTATGGTACTAGTTCTAATGCTTGGAAGTAAAAGCAGAGTTTCCCCAAGACACACAGTGGTACCTAAGTGTTTGAGAATGAAGTGCCCCTTCCAACCTGTTCTTTTGGGGGAGACTTTATACTCAAAAAGCAGATGGTAGACACAAATGAGATGGTAGGAAAGAGTTAATAACTTTTTTGAAGAGGTGATGATATGGGCAGGGTTTAGGAATGCTCCATATGACTGGAGCTAGCAAGAGGCCAGTCTCGGCGCCCATCTGTATGAGTTGCATTGTAAATAGGTATTTACAAACTTAGAAGTGTGAATATTAGCTCCATTCACTATCTTTTCATACCTATATGCAGTCAGCTCCTCAGGGTGCCTCCTCCACAGCTTACACATTTATTTCTCCATCCTCTGTCCAGAATGTCCTCTGTCAATCATTGTAGCCAACTCCTAATGTTAATTCTGGCCATACTCCTTTACTTACATGCTATTGCCAAAGGCATTTCATTAAGACCCAGCTCTGATCACATCCCTCCTCTGCTTCAGAGTCACCCCCTGAAGGACAGAATCTAAGCTACTTAAATGTCATCCAGGCCCCTTTCTTGTCCTGTGCCATCTACTGTTTCTATCCCTTATTTCCTAGAACTTGGGAACTACTTGTGATGCTTTTAGGTCTGTGCTGCAATTGGTGCCTACTGCTACCTACTGTGCACATCTTCCCAGCTGCTTAAGTTCAGGCTGCCATCATAAACAAAGCGCCATAGACTCAGTGGCTTGACGGACGTTTTTCCTTGCAGTCCTGGAGGCTAAGAAGTCTAATTAATAAGCGCTATTAAGAAGCATGAACTAGGGGGCTGGAGAGATGGTTCAGTGGTTAAGAACAATGGCTGTTCTTGCAGGAGACCTGGGTTTGATTCCCAGCACCCACATGGTGGCTAACAACCACCCATAACTCTAGTTCCAGGGGCATCCAACGCTCTCTTCTGACCTTCACGCGCATTGCATGACATGGGTGCACTTACATACAAGTAGGCAATACACTCAGAAGCATGAACTAGGGGGCTGGAGAGATGGTTCAGTGGTTAAGAACAATGGCTGTTCCTGCAGGAGACCTGGGTTCGATTCCCAGCACCCACATGGTGGCTAACAACCACCCATAACTCTAGTTCCAGGGGAATCCAACGCTCTCTTCTGATCTTCAAGAGCATTGCATGACATGGGTGCACTTACATACAAGTAGGCAATACACTCAGAAGCATGAACTAGAATCACAGCAGCTAAGCTAACTCCTAATAGATACCTTCGTTGGTTTGTGCAGCTGCAACAGAATTCCTGAGTCTGGCTTATTTATAAATAATACTTATAGTTCTAGAGAAGATCCAGCATCTGGCAAGGGCCTTCTTCATAGGTCATCCCACGGCAGAAGGTGGGAAGGCAAGAAGCAGGAAGAGGATGAATCTGATTTTGAAAATACATGCTTCATGGTAACATTAATCCATCTATCTCTTAATTTGTCCTAATTTCTCTCAAAACCTCCACCTCTCAACACTGTTGTAGGGGAATTAACTTTCTAGCACATAAATAGCTAAACAGGAGACACTTTCACTGCAATTTGAAATGACAGGAATCCCTGAAGACAGCTCTGGAGGGTTGAATGCAAACAGGTTCTCAACAGGAAACATCAATGCAAAAAGCTAGGCAAGCATAAGGCATAAAGACTAGAAATTGGACCCCCGACAGTTGGGCCTCTGACTAACACTGGGATAGAGAGGGGCCAGAATCTAAAATTCTGTAAGCTGGGCATGCAATTTGCATCTGTCTTATTTATAAGTAAAGAAGTGA